TGAATCTCTTAGTGATCCTTTGTGTCCTGAGTCCTGTGTAACTAAATGTAGCATATTTGGGGCTTTCTACTTTTATTCCTTCCAACGTTGTCTTGTGAAGGAATTTTTTCTGGCTCTCCATTTTTCGTCTCATCTATATATTATTGTTACTCGTATATATTATTACTAGTGTTATTTGGCGTATTTTTGAAGAAGTTATTTAGCAATACATCGCCAAACACTCCTTATTTTACAGATAGTAATTTAACAATGGGATACTATTCCAACTACACTGATAAACTCTCCCAGCAATTAATCAATTTTATTTTACCCCACCAACGATCTAACTTAATTTCCATTTTAGTTTGTGTTTAGTTATTTGATATTCAAATTTAATAAACATTTATGCGAACGATTAGTAAAGGTATAGAATGTGCAACACTATAACAACTAAATTCAAATCACCTCAATTATGCTAATCCACATCATCGTTGGCTATCGGTATAATTGCTCTGTTAATAGACAATGTATTTGTAGTTTAATTTTAGAGTCAAATTACACATTTTATCCTCACATTTTAATATGTTAATTTTAAAATCATACTATTATCATATAATGAATACAGTTTTGTAATGATTTCGTGCGTTTAATCAAATTGTACTTTAAACTTGCAAACAATTAACGAGAAACAGCTTCGTTGGGAGTGTTAAGTCCTAATGAACCCAAACTCAAACTTGCTTGTACAAGTTTCGAGGGTTGTCGGAAACGTGATGTGCAAGTTAAGTTGTCATGGTGTGCGTAACAAGTGATCGATTTATAATTAGTATAGTACAAAAAATATAATATAGTATGATAGTATTAATATTTAGTATAGTATAATAGTATATTTAGTAAATTATTCGTAAAATAAACCGTTCAAAGGTTCTAATGTTGAAGAAATTGTTTTATTTATCAAATTTTTAATGTATATTTCATAAGGTACAAGAATTACTGACTTTTTCCAATGACTTTGTACTTAAAGTTCTAAAGGAAATAAATTGATCTTATGTCTTATGTCTTATGTCAAGGTTTGTGAAAGAAATATCTCCTCCACTCCTTGAAATCTCATTATATATTTTAAAGTCATACATAATCTTAGATCATTATGTAGAGCAGGCTGACTTCTATAAAGGGAAAATGAGGCAACAAAATGATAATAGATATTACTCATAGCCCAAAAACGGACATCATCTATAACTTGGAATAGGGAATATAATACCTTAAATAAAACATACTCCCTTAACCCTTGTTGATTAGTCTATGACAGTTGTAACTCACATTTTGAAATCATTAGGGTTGATGGACATACTACAAGAATAACACCCAGGAAATTTCGATCACTTGAGTCGCTTATTTCCGGATTTTGGGCTCGGACTACGATAAACCCGAGCTTTAGAGTCTAAAGCTTTACCGTTTAAGCCACAAACGAATTGTTCCTTATTTATTTGTGTGGTCCTTAATTATAAGCAGGAAGGTTTCCTGAGAGCTGCCTTTGTTCGTCGAGGAGCGACGAGTGGTTAGTTTCCGTCCTGACCCAATTTGTGTCTCCATCTCGGCGGAATGTGCTAAGAATAGTAAACAGTATAGTCTGTGTTTCGTTCTACATTGTAGCTTTTGAACTGTTTTTATTACTGCTTCTTGTAGTGGTCAAAACGTAGTAAAAAATAGATTGGTATTGGTATCCTTGTTACCTTGTTACCCTTTTGAGAGAGCAATTCAGATATGTTTCAAGCTGACCTGTCTATCCTATTACTGACTAAGATAATCTTATTCTTTAGCCAGGACATTAATTATAATCTCGATGATAGGGGAGGGGGGGGGGTTCATATTGCACTTTTGACACCATTTATTGCAATTGCAAATTATTAGAAATGCAGAAAATATAAATGCTTTATATCAATTTAGTAAGACAACGTAGTACAGAACATGTGAATGCAATTTAAACAATGGACATATGAGCTCTAAATACAAATAATTAAAATAACACCAATGAGCTGACAAACTATTATTTATATTGGCAAGCACCAAAACCACTCAGCTGCATATCTATGTTATACATTTTATTAGATTGTATTATATTACAAAATATCTGGCAATGCGTACAAGGAAACATGAATAATTTGACAAGTAGACAGTGCAATCTTCTACAAATACTGGAAAATATTATCCATTAAGCTGGGTTTTCCTAGCAGCGGAATCGGCCAGCGGAGAGAGGAACGCGGAGAGCGGAATTGAAATTAACATGGCATTCCGCTCCGCTTCTAGGAAAACAGAAACATTAAATTGACGCCGTTGGAGGCGGACTCCAAGACAAGTGGAGTCCGCTCTCCGTGTTCCTCTCTCCGCTGGCCGACTACGCGCCTAGGAAAACCCGGCTTTAAAGTTTTGAATAATGCTGTATGTTAGACTAGTCAAAATATATAATAAAATATACTTTAAAAATTTATGCATGTCTTAAACTAGGACAAATTTTATTTTCTATGTAACTTTTGATATTTTATATAAACCATTTATATATTTTTAAAGATTAAAAAACTTTTAAAACTAGAACAGCGTTTAAAAAGACCATCGGAAATAGAAAAAAAATTAAATTATCAACACCCCTTCACTTTAAAAATGAACAACGTAAAAGGATTGTTAGAACCGGGGTCGATTTAACCCTAGGCTAAGAGCAACGCTGTCTGGGTAACTAGGGAAATCCATTATTACCACTCGGGGTATTTTTGTTAAATCTACTTATGATTCCAGTATAAAGCTTTTCGCAGTGAATACTAGCTTTTAAGTCATTAAGATAGTGTAATAACATACTTTTCAGAGTTAGAATATAATGAAGCTAAAAGTTGCTTTGGTGTTTTTTCAACCCTCGCTCATTTTGCGACTTCGGTTTCGCCTCATTCGTAAAACTTAAGCTCGGGTCGAAAAGAGTCGCCTTACGGCCTAGTGATGAAATATACTATAACCCTTTTAAGGATAAAGATTTTTTTGCACAATCAAGATACCAAAATGTTTTGAAAGAGAATACTGTACCTATTTGTTAAATTCTTACCAATGTACATAATTGCCCGAATTAGAACAACGTGTTTAGGTTTAGACTAGCAACCGATGCGATTCTCACGTGGTGGTTAGCATCTCTGATTTTAAGTTGAAAATTTAAGCATATTTGATTTATTATCCAAATGTTTGCAATCAAATTGTATGGCCCACATGATGAAGGGGGACAAAACATTGTCAGCATTTTAGAAACGCAGAAAAAATAGTTTGAAAAGAGTCGTATAATGTTATACAATTCGTGAAAAGAAATCACTGTACGTACTCTTATTTCATTGAACAGTGGTAATGAACTCTAAAATAATTTCACTAACGAAATCTTCAAATTCCGCAGTTCAAATTTACTATAAAGTTAATTAGTTGCTGGAGTTGAAAGGAGTCCATTAATAAAGACCAAACTGACGATCGATACTTTAATTTGATGTTCCAACGAGCTTTATTTGTTTTGCTCGCTGGTGTTTAGAGTGCGGAAGTCAGTCCTTTCATTCCAGTTAAATAGAATTATGGGATGAAAACAGTTTAGTGATTGGTTTTTGCTGATCACACAGGCAGTATGGTAGTACTGTAGGTGAATTACATATTGATTTTTATATCTGAGTAATATATGATACTTATTTTTTTATCAGTACTATATTTTAAATTAGATTTAGAATGTAAAATAACTTAATGTTATACCATCAACATACATTTTATATTTCACATTGAGCATATGGATTTCTACTACTACATTGCATACTCAAACAATGAACTCAAATCTATCTGCACTATACTATCTGCAGCATAATCACTTATTTAGGTTGACAGAGCCAAAATATAAAAATATATGTATATCTTCCTACAATTTAGTTTCAAATTCACTTTAATTTCCAGTACACGGTGATTTGGTTAGGAACAGTTCTAATTACAAGGTGATTTGGGTAAGAACAGTTAGTTCTAAGTACACGGTGATTTGTGTAGGACCAGTTCTAAGTCCACTGTGGTCTCGGTAGGAACGGTTTTAAGTTCTCGGTGGTTTGGGTAGGAACAGTTCTAAGTACACGGAGGTCTTGGTAGGGACAGTTCTAAGTACACGGTGATTTGGGTAGGGACAGTTCTAAGTGCACGGTGGTCTCGGTAGGAACGGTTCTAAGCACACGTTGGTTTGGGTAGGAACAGTTCTAAGTATATGGTGGTCTCGGTAGGAACAATTCTAAGTACACGGTAGTTTGGATAAGAACAGTATTAAAAACACGGTGATTTGGGTAGGAACAGTTCTTTATACATGGTGATTTGGGTAGGACCAGTTCTAAGTTCGTGGTTATTCGGGTAGAGACAGTTCTAAGTACACGGTGGTCTCGGTAGGAACCGTTCTAAGTACAAAGTGGTTAGGGTAGGAACAGTTCTAAGTACATGGTGATATTTGGGTATGGCCAGTTCTAAGTACAAGGTGATTTGGGTAGGGACAGTTCTAAGTACACGGTGGTCTTGCTAGGAACAGTTATAAGTACACGGTGGTCCTGATGGGAACAGTTCTAAGTACACGGTGGTCTTGCTAGGAACAGTTATAAGTACATGGTGGTCCTGGTGGGAACAGTTCTAAGTACACGGTGGTTTGGGTAGGAACAGTTCTAAGTACACGGGGATTTGTGTAGGAACGTTAAATCTACTCGTTAAATCTAATTTTATTTAAATATGGAATAATTATGTCTTATTTATGGAAATATTTCAGTATAAATGTAATGAGACAAGTTGAAATTCGCTTAGTCTGCAGGTTTTCTGCGGCGGGGGTATTTTGTATATTTAACGTCTTGTGAGTAACAGTATAAGCGTAAATATATGTTTTAAGTGTTAAAAGACCTTCCTTAACTTACTTTCCGTAATTTTAATAACACGTACAATCCTGATCAAGAATTAAAATTATGTTTTACACTCCGAAAATCCAAATAGTCCATACTATGGCCATTCTATCACCAGCGCAGCAGCTGGTCCAGGTACTGATGTTGACGTATCCTAGCAACCAACCCCCTCCCACCCCCACCCCACCATCCCACAACCCACTGTTCTATGTCACGTGATAATAACTGGTATCTGGGTCATGGCCCACACAGCTTTGTTGATTCTTTTTAATTTGATTCTTTACTTGACTAGGCGAGTGATTTTTGCTGTTTAATATCGGTTGTTGACGAAAGTTAATAGAGTGTGATATAGGTTCATTTTGTTTTGTTCATGAATAAAAATTACAATTTCAGAGTTCTAAGAAATTCATGGAGTATTAATATTCCAACACTTATTGAGGGATTTATGGATTTTAATTGTGATAGGGCCTAGTCTTTTGAGCTTAAAAGTTAACCTGAATGTACAGGTATATTTAAAGTATTGAAATATATTTAGTATATTTCTTTGTAACATTAAAAAACGCGTTTTTCGTGTTTCATTATATGATATACCATTTTCTAGGATATAGGTCTTTTTCAAAATTTTCAACCAATTTATTTTTGTAAACCCACATAAAAAGCAATCTGGCACTGTTACAGTTTTATATCAGTAAGAATACTGGTGTATATTGATAAAATACCTGCTAAAAGTATTTTATTTTGTTTTTCAAATTATCGCATAAGGAAAAACTTTACTCAGAGTCATACGCGAAGAGTGTTTAATTTGTTCCTAAGCAAAGATTTTTCACAACTTGAGGAACAGATATAGTATTCCTCATTTTCAAAAAATATTAAAATGTTAATAAATCCCATGTTGTTAATTATATTCGCCTATTGGGTCTGATGATGATTGGAGTGTCCAATCGAAATCGATCACCACTTACCAACTTTTACATGTATTTACCGTCTTGTAAGTCAACAGTATAAGTGTAAATATATTATTGCAAGTGTTATTAGACTTAATATATTTCTGTATTTTTCAATTATATACACCATAATATTCTGCACCAACTGCAAATAAGGATTCATTTTGCAAACATTATAGTTTGTTGTAACGAGGAAGCGTTTCCAAGCTTTGAAAATATACTTTCTATTTACCTAAATATCGGTAAACTGAAAGATAACAACTATTTAAAACGCGTAAAGACTGTCTACTTGCGCGTTAAATGCCAGGTATTAACAATATCGTTGCATTTTACTCTTCTGATTTACAATGAGAGCTGTAATACCCACTTTGTATAAATGCACAACAACAACCTATTTGGCAGATTTCACCACGTAAACTCCTTCGTAAATATTACCAGTTATTTTAATAGATTGAGATAATGAATGATAGGGTGGTAGCAAACATAACAAGAAAGAATCGTTTACCCAGAAACCATTTAGAACTGAGTTATCCAGAGAGAAATATCACTTGCTCTACTTGGCTGGATCGTGTCCAAATTAAAGATGTTTGTAACCCTCTTAGCGCTACAGAAGCTTTAACTTCGCCATAACTTTCGTCAGCTCTTTCGTTAAGAGCCTTCCAACTAAATAATATGTGATTTACATGTTTTTTACCCCTATTAGTTTTAAAACATAAATAAATGAGACCGATTGTGACAGTCATTAATTATGAAAGGTTAACTTAGTATTCCTGGGGACCGAGCCATGGCTCGGTGTAGTTTATAAAACAGCTGATTACTTTGGGGATTACGTTTTGGTAGGAGAGAGCCAAATAAAATAATCAGTATTTGATCGGAACTATTTTCCCCCCATATCAAGTAATCTTCATTGTAATAAATAAATAAAAAATAGCACGACTTTGGAAAATTACTCCAAACATATGGATTATCAACACTATAGGTTTAATATATCAAAATAATTTCCAATTTATGTAAGTATTGATACATTGCAAGTAACGGAACAAACATAAAACACAAAATGTGTGTAGTCAAGATAAGTCTCTAGGGAACTCTCAGATTCTGATAAAATTCAGATCAAACGTTTAAACCAACATCAATTTGTTGACTTCGCGAACCAGCCTGATCCGACTATACGAAGAAGACTTTACTGTAAAAACATGTTTTATTTACTTTTTTACCCAAACATTTGGGGTTTACTATCTCGTATTGGATATAAAGGGAGTAAAACGCGTTACTTTTCCCCCTGATTTTACTAAGTGATTAAGAGTGCTAAGCAGTTACGTTTCCTCAATAACCTTCAATGATAATATATTATTTTACACATTTCAATTAATTTCAAATTTTTTCAGTAAATGATTTGTCAGACAATCTGTTCTTCGTAAATATAAACTTAGGGATACATTCAACGTTACGTCTAAATGTAGTTATGTTGTTGTGAACCTGTTTGTAGAAAATAAAATAAATAATCGTAAATACGCTAAGTATGTATGTTTGATGGAACAGATATTGTTTCAAAACACAGTTAGTTTATAGATGCATCCACTTACCTACGCACATCCGGGAAAGTATTTCTCATAAAATGTAATACCATTACCAAACCTTACCGCGTCATGAATGTAGTGATTTGATAAAATGACGCTTTGTCGAGTTCACAAATAACTAAACGAGTGTGAACGGGTAAAATGAAACGGAAGTTCCATTCATAACCGTTGAATTATAAACTGGACGGATTCAATTGGTTAGGAACGTCGCTATGGAATGGAGTTGGCTAAAACCACAGCTTTGCCTTGGATGACAATTAGGTATGCACAGCTGAGAAGCGTTATAACGATAACTTGTTAGATAACACGGCATGACTGCTGCTTCTAGCGGCAAATTGTTCTTGGAGGTTGAGATTTAATTATCTTGGTACTTACAGAATAGTAATAATATAGTAATAATAGTTTTAAACACTTAAAGTTGGCTTGTTTATGAATATATTTTGATCAAACTTGGCGGATTTTTTTTTGTATACTAAGCTATTGATATTTTATTAAAAAACACACTTTTTAGTTTCCCTGTATTAGCTAACCTAGGTACTCGTTAAACATAAATGGTAATCTAATAGATTAATTGAAAATCAATCCAGGCAAATGGAAATTCGCTTAGTCGGCAGGTTTGCTGCAGCGGGGGTATTTTGTATATTTAACGTCTTGTGAGTAACAGTATAAGCGTGAATATATGGTTTAAGTGTTATAAGACTTTCCTTTACTTACTTTCCGTAAATTTAATAACACGTACAATGCTGATCAAGAAGTTAATTATGTTTTACACTCCGAATATCCAAATAGTCCATACTATGGCCATTCTATCACCAGCGCAGCAGCTGGTCCAGGTACTGATGTTGACGTATCCTAGCAACCAACGACCCCCCACCCCACCCCCCCCCCCCCCCCACCAAATGTTCTATGTCACGTGAAAATAACTGGTATCTGGGTCATGGCCCACACAGCTTTGTTGATTCTTTTTAATTTGATTCTTTACTTGACTAGGCGAGTGATTTTTGCTGTTAATATCAGTTGTTGACGAAAGTTAATAGAGTGTGATATAGGTTCATTTTGTTTTGTTCGTGAATAAAAATGTCAATTTCAGAGTTCTAAGAAATTCCAGGAATATTAATATTCCAACACTTATTGAGGGATTTACGGATTGTAATTGTGATAGGCCTAGTCTTTTGAGCTTAAAAGTTAACCTCAATGTACAGGTATGTTTAAAGTATTGAAATAAATTTAGTATATTTCTTGGTAACATTAAAAAACACGTTTTTCGTGTTTCATTATATAGTATACCATTTTCTAGGATATAGATATGTTTCAAATTGTTCAACCAATTTATTTTTGTTTGGTATGTAAAACTTTCATTCCAAAATAAAAATAAATCCACATAAAAAGTAATCCGGCACTGTTACAGTTTTATATCAGTAAGAATAGAGGTGTATATTGATAAAATACCTGCTAAAGTATTTTATTTTGTTTTTCAAATGATCGCATAAGCGAAAACTTTACTCAGAGTCATGCAAGAAGAGTGATTAACTTGTTCCTAAGCAAGATTTTGCACAACTTTGAGGAACAGGTATAGTGTTTCTCATTTTCAAAAAATACTGAAATGTTAATAAATTCCATGTTGTTAATTATATACACCATGTATTGTGCACCAACAGCAAATAAGGATTCATTTTGCAAGCATCATAGTTTGTTGTAACGTGGAAGCGTTTCCAAACTTTGAAAATATACTTTCTATTTACCTAAATATCGGTAAACTGAAAGAACGTGAAAACACGTAAAGACTGTCTACTTGCACGTTAAATATCAAAAAAGGTATTAACATTGTCTTTGTGTTTTACTCTACTGATTTACATCAACACACTCTTTTACTCAATGATGGTGACATACCCACTTTGAATACACCCACAACAACAACCTATTTGGGTCATATTTCACCACAAAAACTACTTCGTAAAATATAACAGGTTCTTTTAATAGATTGAGATAATGAATGATAGGGTGGTAGCAAACATAACAAGAAAGAATCGTTTACCCAGAAACCATTTAGAACTGTTAGGTATCCAGAGAGAAATATCACTTACTCTACTTGGCTGGATCGTGTCCAAATTAAAGATGTTTGTAACCCTCTTAGCGCTACAGACGCGGGTCTTTAACTTCGCCCTAACTTTCGTCAGCTCTTTCTTTAAGAGCCTTCCAACTAAATAATATGTGATTTACATGTTTTTTACCCCTATTAGTTTTAAAACATAAATAAATGAGACCGATTGTGACAGTCATTAATTATGAAAGGTTAACTTAGTATTCCTGGGGACCGAGCCATGGCTCGGTGTAGTTTATAAAACAGCTGATTACTTTGGGGATTACGTTTTGGTAGGAGAGAGCCAAATAAAATAATCAGTATTTGATCGGAACTATTTTTCCCCCATATCAAGTAATCTTCATTGTAATAAATAAATAAAAAATAGCACGACTTTGGAAAATTACTCCAAACATATGGATTATCAACACTATAGGTTTAATATATCAAAATAATTTCCAATTTATGTAAGTATTGATACATTGCAAGTAACGGAACAAACATAAAACACAAAATGTGTGTAGTCAAGATAAGTCTCTAGGGAACTCTCAGATTCTGATAAAATTCAGATCAAACGTTTAAACCAACATCAATTTGTTGACTTCGCGAAC